GCCAGGAGTCAGCAAATTCGTATTGGTCTTTATTGAGATGTCAAGGTCCAGCAACGCCATAAGAGAATAGTCTGGAGACACAATCCAGAGCCAAGACTTCAGGGTTCTTAGACGCGATACCCTCAACCTTTCAGCTATGAGGAGGGCAGTTCTCTGTTTGAGGGCTCTCTGGTCTTCAAAATGGTCCTATATTTGGTCAGAAACTGACTGCCCAAAGTGCTCAGCTCTTGCTGGAGTTCTTGCAGTGCCTTGTCTTTTTCCTGCTGCCCCCCAAGCACGTGGTTCTTGTAATAGTTGATGTACAAGTTCACCCAGTCATCCACCACAGTCACCATGCTCTCTTCAGGAATGAGAGGGTCATTAAAGACCTGGGGGCAGAGAGAGAAGGGAGAGATTGGCCAAGGAGAATGTGGTCAGCGAGACGGAGTACCAGGACGGTCTTATAAACGCCCACGATCTCTTTTCTTGGATTTGCATTCTGCTTCTAGACATTTGGACCAATGCCACCATTGCCCTTACAGTTTCAAATAAACCTCCTTGCCCCCCCCCCCAACACACACTCTCTCCATCTGTCTTTTCAAACAGTGCCCTGGCTCACCTGCTGATTCAGCAGAACGTTAAACTCCTTTATCCCTGTAGAAATCAGTTCCTTATTGGTCTGGAAAGGGGCCATCTGTCAGTTAAAGAAAGGAGGTAAAATGTATCCTTTTTCCCTCACACCAGTATCCTCCCCAGCTCTCCCCCACCCCAAACATCCCTCATGGCTGAGAGGGACACCTCCTTTCTAAACCTTTCAAACCCTGCTCTGTGTGGAAGTCGCATTTCTCCCAATATAGGCTCACCTTCAAGTCCAAAGGTGCCGAACTTGCCTCAGCCACACTCTTCAGGGTTGGTGTGTCCTCTGCACTGAGCGGGAGGTAAGCAGAGTTCAGAGCTAGCTTAAGACGGAAACGCCCTGCTTTGAGGTCCTGAAGGAGCGTGATAGCTCGTCCTGGGGTGGAGATGGTGGGCGGTGAGGCGTCCCTGGAACTAGAAAGATAGAGAGACCATGAAAAAGTAGATAAATGAAGACAGAAAATGCAAGAAACAAACCAGGAACACATATATGCTTGTCCTTTTCCCTATAATCCCAAGCCAGTCTCTGACTGCTAAGGAAATTAACATTTTCTGGACCCCATGATGTAATGGGCATTTTTGCATTATACACAGTGTTATGGCATTGGCTTCTCCATCTACAGCATCCATATTCAGGGCAGTTTAGAAGCCAGACTACAACCCCACATTCAGGAGGTATGGAAAGAAGAATCAAGTCAGAGGCCAGTCCCAATTCATATCCAAACAAAACCTTGTTCTCGAAAAAAGAAGTTTATGCCACATTCTTTGCCATTTTATGTATTCTTTTATGCCAGACACTTCTTCAATCATATATTAAATATTTATCATTATAAAAAAATCCCTTCAGAAAATATAGGATATATTGGGGCTTTTTCAACTACAAAGAAAAATAAAATTATGGCTTGGCCTCAGGGGAGCAAAAGAATCTTTGAATACTTGCCACTACCTCCAAATAACTCATAACATCTAAATAAGTTATGTACTGGGCTGGCAAGATGGCTCCTTGGTACTTGCTGTCAAGCCTGATGACCTGAGTTCAATCCCTGGGACCCACATGGTAGAAGGAGAGAAATGATGCCCAGAAGTTATCTTTTGATGTTCATATGCAGACCATGGTGTATATGCATCTCTCTCTCTCTCTCTCTCTCTCTCTCTCTCTCTCTCTCTTACACACACACACACACACACACACACACACAAATAACTAATTATCTAAACAAATAGGTAAACACAGTATGTACCACTTACCAAATCTGACTTACACCTACACAGATAATCTGTTTAGCCCTCACCATCACCTATCTGGTATGCACTAGTGTTGTTTCCACTTTTAAGATGGGGAAATTGAATGCCAAAGAAACAAATAACTTTCCCAAGATCTCACAGTTACAACCTTGCATGCCAAGCAAGGCCGTTGGGTGAACTCATTTACAGAATGTGGCTTTGGGGTTTGGTTCATTCACAGAAGCTAGAATAAAGAGTATGGTAACTTGACTTCTTCCTTCCTCCTGGGAACTCAATTCTTCCCAAAAGTGCTAATGTTTATCTCAACCTTAGACAGACTCTGCGTGGGGTCAGATACGCGGAGGCATGGGTGGGCAGGGTGGCTTCAGCCACAGTGCATGATGAAGCCAGCAGTCCTTGAGAATCAGACGTTTCCAGAATGGAGTTGTTGTCCAGAGCAGTGACCATCCAAGAATGCCAGGCTAGCAACAACGACATCTTCTTTTCTGATTTTTTTTTTAGCTTGGAATATACGACAGCTTTATTGACCAAAGGTTAGAAATATAAGGTAGGTTAACTTAATGAGTTTGGCAATTTTCTATAGCATCACTATTAGATTTATCTTTTCTTTTCTGATTTAAAGAGGAAAAAAGAAGATGCTTTTGGCAAATTTCTACTTTAGGGCCAGTTCCCTAAAGTAAGCCAGAAGGAGGAGGACAAAGAGAAGGGATGAGTTTGGAGAAGGGAAACCCTGTAGCTTAGACTCTCCTCCTGACTCCATGGAGCTCCCCCAGAAGAGAAACACACAAGACTTCCCCACACTTATGTTGTGTTCTGACTGTACTCCTGCCCCGCCTCAATGGTCTTACTCCCCAGGTCCTTAGAAGCCTTTTAGAAATAATATTCTAATCTGGGGAAAGCTGAAGGACAGAGAATTTCTTCTCGCAGCGTTAGTGAACCAAGCCGTCTGCTTGCTACTTGACAAAACCAATGACTCGGGGAAAGTACTTGGGCAAAGAAAAAAACTTGTTTGGAAAGCCAAGGAAACAAAGAGGCTAACTCATGCCAATAAAACCATCTGGTGTGGAGGGGCTTTGTAGAGAGGGAAGCAGAGCAATAAGCAAGAAAGAGCTAACCACTGAGGACATTTTTAAAACAAAAAAACTTGATGCTGGGTGATTTTGGGGTGCCACTTCAGAGGCCTTAGTTGATTTAGTTACTCTTAATCTTGATGTTTTCAGCCTTGGAAGGGAAGGAAGCAAGTTTAAGTCAAATCAACCTTGGTCTAGATAAAATAGCTCTTAATGACTAATATATCTGCATGCAGATTTGGGCAGAAATGGTCTGGATCAAGATTAAGGTAGCAAAGAACGCAGAGACCTGGTGAAGATGATGTTGTTACTGGATCTTGCTCTGTTTCCCCTCAGTGCCCCAGTCCTTGTGTTCTTTATTAAGTGAATTCAGGTAAGACACACAGAGTGTAGCATAGAAAATAGAGCTTTGTGTGTAATAATAAGGGTTGAGGGTGGGCAATGGCCAAAGAGCCACAGTAGAGGAAAGTGCGCTCACAGAGTGAGAATGGACAGAGTCCGAAGAGACCACTGCGGAGGGCACGCTCTCAAGGGGTAGGGATTGCAGGGGGCACGCTCTCAAGGGGTAGGGATTGCAGGGGGCACGCTCTCAAGGGGTAGGAATGGACAAGGGTCAGGGGGACTGTATGTATCAGCCTACATGTTTAGGGGGGCTATTACAGGACGGCTGTAAATGACCAAACAACACTTGGCCGGGTATTCTGGGCCTCTTTCCTCGGTCCTAGCTCACTTCCATTCTTGGCAGAGCCTTCACTCTTTCTTAAGGAGTTATCTACTTCTCTTCCACGCCTAATTTAAAAGGCACAGTTTTCTCTGGTTTCTCCTGATGGCTGCCAGGATCTCCGCCCATCCTGTTCTATGTTTCCCTCTTAAACTAATAAAACTTTCTTCAAGATTCCTGTTCATTCCACTACTAAATTCTTTTATTAAAAAAGATTTTATTACTGCCTGCCCCCCCCCGTGTGTGTGTGTGTGTGTGTGTGTGTGTGTGTGTGTGTGTGTTTAAGAGCACATCCATGTGCTTGCCTGGGAGGTCAGGAAGAGGGCGTCTGAGCCCCTGGAGTTGGATTCACCAGTAGTTTGTGAACTGACATCCGCACAGGGAACCAAATGCTGATTTTTCGGAAGAACTGCAGGCATTTAACCACTAAGTCATCTCTCAGCCTCTAAATTCTTTTAATTAGGGAGACGAAGTTCCCATGGGAACTTCAGTTTCCCCAGTAACAAAATAACAACAAACGCTAGCTAGCAAAGAACCCTTCTGTGCCGCTGGTGAGAATGTAAACTTTTGCAGCTGCTGTGAGAAGCCAAGGGGAAAACAGCAGAAACCACGGCATGGTTACCTCTCTGCTGATGTAGGTATACTCAAAGGACGCCATGTCCTACCGCAGACATAAGGGTACATCTGCGTTTACCGCGGCAGTACTCACAACAGCCCAGGGATGGAATCGGCCTGGAGCTCTGTCAGTAGACAAATGGGTAACAAAATGTGGCATTGCAGTGGAATTTTATTCTGCCACAAAGAAAATCATGACATTTGCAGGAAAATGAGTTTAAAACTTTCAGAAAGACAAATACCCCCATGTTTTCTCTCATATGCAATCCCTAGATCAGCACTTTTATATGTGTGTATGGGTGTGGGAGGAGGCATAGGTCATGAAGTTAGAAATGGGACCGTGAGGAGGGAAGAAGGGATCTTCAGGAGACTAGAAAGACGATCGATATCATGTGACATAAGAGCCACAAGGTGTAGGGTGGGGGGGGGGGTGTCTATCCAGTAGGGGTCAGGCAAGGGAATGAGGAGACAATAGGAAGAAAGTTTGTATAATAATGCTATAATGAAACTCATTAAGTCTCAAGGCAATTTTAAGTTTTTCAGAAGCTATATTGTCCCAGGCCTCACTGAAAAACAAAAAAAGAAAGAAAAGAAAAAGGGCACTTGGGACCCAGAGAAGGATACTTTTCAAACTTACACAGCTAAAAGTTTGAGATCTGATTGATGGCAACTATTTCCACAGGAAGGCACCTTTCCCTCTCCCGATTGTGGAAGTTCACGCAGTCTGAGTTCAAGATAGTATAGGAAGATGATTGCCCCTCTGCGGCCGCCGTAGCCGAACAGGAAACGTTATTGGTCCGGCTTTTTTGCCGCGTTGGACTTGGACCGGCCGGCTGAGCCTGGGGATGGCTGACTCTGCGAGCTTGCGAATGCATCTGTGCACGGAACAGTTCGGCTCCCGAGCCCCGCGCGGCTGCCGCGCTGCCGCCGACGGGAGCCTGCAGTGGGACGGGGCTCGGCGCTGGGGCTGGCTCTCCCGGGCCCCGACAGCGAAACCCGGGCAGGAGGCGGGAAGCGGGGCACCCTTGGCAGCGCTGCCCGCGCTTTCGGGCCTCAGAGCCGTGCTGCTGCCTCAGGGCTTCCCCGATAGCGTCAGTCCGGATTACCTGCCCTACCAGCTGTGGGATTCGGTGCAGGTGCGGCCGGCCGACTGCCGTGGCGGGTGGGGTGTCGGCAGTTTATAGCTGGGGACCTGGGGGACAGGCCCCTGCGGTCTGCATTTGCACGTGGAAGGCTGGGGTGCACCGCAGAGTCCTGACAGTTTTCCAGGTCACACACCACCGCTGAGTGCTGGTATAGTACTCCGTGTTCCTGCGACCACCCCTCACTCCGCTTCTTCTCTCTTCAGGCCTTTGCTTCCAGCCTCTCCGGCTCCCTAGCCACCCAGGCAGTGTTGCAGGGTTTAGGGGTAGGCGACGCAAAAGCCTCTGTTTCAGCTGCCACGTCTACCTGGCTCCTGAAAGGTGAGCCAGAACCCGGGAGCCTTACGTGTTGGTCACACACACACACACACACACACACCCGCCTTCTCTCTCTGGCCTCTTTTTCCTCCACTGCAAACCCTAGAACTGCCGTTCCGCAGCGTTCTGACCTCCAACAGTGACTCTGGTCACTGTGTTTGTGAGTGGTCTGCTGTCTGATGAGACAGTACACAGAAGCCGCATGTCCCCAGGCCTAGAACAGTATTCTCGTTGCGCGTTGAATAAGGTCATCAGTGAATGAGCCCAAAAGACACAACTTGTTACCCTTGCAAACTTCAGAATCTAGATCCCTCATCCTTAAATTAACTTTAAACCTACTTTGTGCGGAATTGCATAAAAATGTAGTTTATTACATAAAGCTGCCAGCCTCTCAGGATGGTGAAAATTAGATACTTGAAGTGGGATGTAGCTGGTCCAAAACTGGTATGGTTAAAATGTATTCTGACTCCTCTGGGGTAGAAGACAGTGCTGTGGGTGATCATTACGGTAACCATGTGCCGAGAATGTATAGCTTTTATAAAAAAAAAAAAAAAAAAAAGTCGCCAAGAAAAGAAGATAATTTAGCACCATGCTACCTAGAGAGTGAAGCAGAGAAAAGGGAACTCGCCAGCCACGTGTTTCACACTTAGGAGGGCTCAGTCTTCTTGCCTCTGTCCCTACTGCTCCCAGTGGTATTTGTAAGGGGATTTCCCGCTGAGCTTTGCAGCTGGTTTGCCGCCTTGATCTGCCTTTTGTGACTGCTACCTTTTATGTCCCTTACCTTCTGGTTTGAAGTGTGTAAATTTTACCTGGGTGTATCCTAAAGCTTCAAAGCCCACGCAAAACTTGGTTGCGGGAGGATTCAGAAAACTGAGATGTCCTGTGGCTGGGAATTGCTTTGGCTTTTGTCTTTTTGGGGAGTTTTGGATAAGAGGTTTTGATGTGCTAATGTGTAAACTTTATAACAATAAAAAAGCCTACTGCAAAGCTACTGTCAGTTTATGGGAAGCTGAGTCCCCTGTGGCCGAAAAGGCAAAAATCATCCTAGAGTGACCCTGTTTCTTCCACGGACCTGTGTGATCCGTGAACCAAACACCCGACACAACAGGTATTTAAATGAAACCTAGGGGTAGGCGCATCCAGCGGCCTGGCCAGGTCTTTGGAGAGCCTTCCTGGACCCTTTGGAGATCTGAAGGCTTCTGTGTGTGCCTAACTGCTAGAACTGGGCACACTGTAACTAGGGGTCACCTCTTGACAGCATTGTTAGAGCAGAAGTGGTCAATGGCGGCTTGTCCTCATTGTCTTTAACAATGGCAATGCTAATACTAATCTTTCACTTTAAGGTTTTGCCCATTCTTGAAGATGGGAGATGTGCCTGATAGACATAGGCAGATGGATTTTGTTTCTTAGTCTATTCAGCTAACCTATGTCTTTTGACTAGAGAGTTGAAACTATTAACATTTAAAGTTATTGTTAAATGGTATGTGATGATCATTGCTATGTTTTTGTTTATGTTTCAGTAATTATTACATCATTTGTTTTCTTTTTATAATCTTAGCTGTGTTGATTCCTCTCTTCAGTCCAAAACATTGCTTCTCGTATTCTCTGTGCGTCTAGCTTAGCATACATGGGTTCTTTTGGCCTGTTTCTCTATGCTTCAACTATGGCAGACTGTTTGGCTGGGTATAAAAGTCTAGGTTGGCAGTAGGTCGTCGAGGGCATTGCCCCAGGCTTTTCTGGTTTCTGAAGTTTCCGTTGGGAAATCAGTTGTTATACTGATGGGTTTTCCTATATAAGTGACTTGTGGTTTCTCTCTTGATGCTTTCAGTAGCTGCCCTCTGTTCTGTACATGAAGTGCTTTAGCTATAGCATGTCCTGGGAGTTTCTTCTCTAGCCTCATCTCTTTGGCATTCTGTGTGCTCCTTGCAACTGTATTGGTTTATCTTTCCTTTTGTTAAGGAATTTTTCTTCTATGATCTCATTGAAGACGTAGTTTATGCCATTGACCTGGGATTCTTGTGTATTTGTTCCTACAATTCAAAGATCTGGCCTTTTGATGCTGTCTCACGGTTCTTCCGTGTTCCTTTTATGTATTCTTATTTTTTGCATCCTTTGCTTGTGTGCTCTGATTCCTCTACTCCATCCTCAGACCTTCTACTTGATCCCTCACACTTACAAGGCTTCCCTCCCGAGCCTTCTAATTAGGCTACTGAGTGTTGCAGTTCCATCTTCATTTCAGCTTGAGTTCTCTTCAATATTTATGACTTTTCACTGAATTAATATTTCAGATACTGAATTGTCTCCATTAGTGTTTTCTTGGACATCACTCAGGCATTTATTGTTATCCTCTTTAGGTGACTGAGCTGTTCTTTGAGTCTTTCTCAAGCTCCTTGAATTCTTTTCTAAAGTTTGTGGTTCTTTTATATTTGGTGTCCTGGGTTCATTGGAGAATATTTCTGGAGGACCACTGGATTTGAGTGGGGACATACTCTGTTGACCTTTTATTTTGCTGTGTTTTCATAATGTGTCCTGAACATGTGGGTTTCTTTCTTTGGTTGTGTGTTTGATGTGAGATTATGGCTGGCCTTCAGTTGAGCTGGCCCAAGAGCTTCATGCCTGAACCGGCAGATGAGCTGCTGGGTGGGAGCTGGACCTTCAGGTGTGGAGATGTTGTGGAGGATGATGGGATCAGGGAACCTGAAAGGCACTGCCTGGCACTGCCCATCCAGACGCAGCCTGCAAGTAGTGCTGGCATGGCTTGGGGTCAGGAACCCGGCAGGCAAAGGCAGTTTGCGAGTTGTGTGTCCCATTCTTAACTGCCCCTCCTTTGCGGGGATTTATAGTAGATCCACATATAATTCATCATTAGACTGATAAATGTCCAGATCTTCAACTCTGCTAATTATAAGACCGAGAAGAGGAAGTGAGAATTAAGATTCCTATTCTGGCAGATAGTACCGACTTTCGGGTCGTAGGTAGGACATTATGTCACTGTTTCACCACACTGCCGGTCTCCAGACTGTGATGAGGGCCCTAGAGGCTGCTTTGATTGATCCACAGACCGCCCCTTGCTTCTGTCACATGGCCCAAGTTGGATATATGCTCTGTTAATGTAAGTAAGCAACTAAGAGGAAGAAATGGAGTCTGTCCCAGTGACTCCCTCTGAATCAGTAATAGTAACCTTGCCATATTCAGAATTAAAAATTGATATAATACAAAAATCTCAAACATAAAAATTTTGTTTATAATGTAATTTTTACTTGAAGGAAGAAGCTCAAGTGAGTTTTAGAAAGTAGGGTACCTCTCAAGTTGCTTGGGTGAGTATTCCAGGACCAGGCAGGGGACAGAAATGAAGCAGACGGGTGAGGAAACACACATAATAGCTTTTGAAAGGCTGTAGTGGTGAGGGAAGGGTGACCCCATACCCCTAAAGTCCAGGGTTCAGTAAAGAAAAGGGAAGTTCTGCCTACAGTTTAATGTGGCGGGAAGTACCCAACTGACATCCCACAGCCTTCCCTCTGCGTTCTCCATTTAAAGGTCTGTGCCCTCAAACCCAAACAAGACGAGTCCTCCACCTCTTCAGCCCGTCCTTCCCAGTGCCACCTGGGAGTCCCTGGGAGGTTGCCTGGTTCTAAAACATTCCTTCCTGGTAATCCTCCTGCTCCACTCACGGAAGCGGTCTCCGCATAGGGACGGGCTGAATTAGCAGATGTTTGCTGTGGGTCAGACAGCCTTACCTTTGGCAAAGCTTCTCAGTTCTACCATTTTGCTATAGGAAGGGCGGTGCACTAGACAAGATTTTGAGTAGTTGTGCCAAATAGACATGTATTCCTCGTCCCTACAGTTGTGCAGCTTCCTGAGAGGCGTGCTGTGCTCTGAGCAGTTTCTATGAGTTAGTCTGTCATGCAAGATGGCAGTGCTAAGCATCTGTCTCTGTTACCCTGTCATTTTCACTGTCTAATGCCACTGAGTGGCTCTGCCAAGGTTTTGTGAGTCCCCTTTACACATCTGCATCAGCTTAGTGTTTTGATGTTATTAACAGCATTGCAGGCTGAGGCTGCAACTCACTTTATAGGGTGCCTGTCTAGCGATGCTGCAGGCAGTATTTCTTGTCTACTCTGTACGTGGGCACATAGTTCATGCGTACAAACCGAAAAGCTGCTGACCTCAGCGCACCGCCCAGAGTTTGTCCCAAGGGCAGTGTGACTGGAAATGAATCAGCCACTTCAGCGCCAGTGTCTGTCCTGCCCTGCAGCTCCTTCCTTGTCCTTATGACGCCTTCTTCTCACCCCCAGATTCCACGGGCATGCTGGGCCGCATCATCTTTGCCTGGTGGAAGGGGTAAGTGTGTCTCTCTTCCCAGTCAGCTGGCTCTGGTAATAATACAAGCCTTTGCCTGTTGGAGGAAGTTCAATGGAAAAAAAGAACCCATGCAAAGTGCGTACTGTTTTGTGTCCCACTTGAATTTTGTAGCATCCCCAATCTCTGTAAGCACTGGGGAGGACCGGACATTTTGGAGATGCGAGTCTGGGAATATAGCTCAGATGCAGAGCATTTGCCCTGCCGTGGGCAAGGCCCTGGATTCAGTTCCCCCAAACTGAATGGAGACAGAAGAGGTAGAAATATCCTAGGCCTGGATATGGGCACCCAGCCATCTGTCTTGGTCTTCCTTCCCGCCCACCTATTTTTTGTGAGCCAAGAGAACCTGGGCTAGCTATCTGTAACCTGCAGTTATACCAAATGTGGTGTGACGAATCCCAGGTGTGTGGACTTTGCCCTACTTACCTTTGAAGGAGCAAGGAGGAAAGGAGAAAAGGAGGGTGACCCAGGAATAGCCTCTTCAGAGGTTGCCCAGAGAGCGGGAGAACAGCCAGGAAACAGGATTATTTCCTTGGAGTCAGTAAGGGAGAGATAGGCAGTGGTCACAGATGGGTGGTCCTCCCAGCTAGGGGTCATATTTCAGGCAGCAGTGATGGTGGGAATAAAACACCAGAGAAGCAGGTACAGAATTGCCTTTCCAAAGGGCTTCCTGGGGAGAGCCAGCTTCCTGCCTTGCAGGAGGAGACCAGTTAGGAAGGATATAACGTCCTACCAAGAACAGCGTGGTGGTGTCCGAATAGAAGGGAACAGGCCTTCCCTTCCAAACCCAGAGAGAAGCCAGGTGAGGAGAGATGGTGGCCATGCGTGTATACTGTGACAAGGGAGCCCAAAGGGAACACCTTCAAATCCCCCAGACAGAGATCTGACTTTCATGGATTTTCCAATGAGTAGCAGCGAGTTTCACATCGTGTGGCTGAGTTTGCCCAGTCTGTTGCTCAGGGGAATGGAGCCAGAACTAGATAGGGCCTGGGCTTATTCTGCAGTTGAGCTGGCAAGGGCTGTGAGGCTTTACCAGCTGCTACCACAGAGCTGCAGCAGGGCGTGGCCGATACCTGGGATAGAGGATTTGTGATCTGACAGTGCCAGGGCCACAGCATTTTCCTTTGTTCTAAACTGTAACAACCTCTTATCCCCTACAGGAGCAAATTGGACTGTAATGCAAAGCAGTGGAGGTGAGAAGAGATGGGAGAGAGAATGGGGGAATCTGCAGTTATGAAAGTCTCTTGTAAACTGGGTGGTGGTGACACACGCCTTTAATCCCAGCACTCAGGAGGCAGGGGCAGGTGGGGGCCAGCCTGGTCTACTGAGTTAGTCCCAGGACAGTCAGAGATACACAGAGAAATCCTGTCTTGGAAAAACAACAAACAAAAGTCTCTTGTTTATGACCTCTAACCTTTGGTTCTTCCCTAGGCTCTTTGCTGATGTCCTCAATGATATAGCAATGTTCCTGGAGATTATGGCTCCTATGTACCCAGTTTTTTTCACCATGACTGTCAGTATCAGCAACCTAGCCAAGGTACCCACAACCTGGGGCACTTCTATACCGGGGGTACCATCCTTAATGATGCCATGTAGGGCTTACCTGGACCCTGTATTCAAGGCATTTCTAAAAAGGGGTTAAACTGGGACAGAGAGAGAAGAAAGGACTTAAGGTTGCAGCTACAGTAAGAAAAAGAGATGGGAGGTGTGGCTTAAAGGAGAAGATCTCTGCAGAGGCACACAGCTGTGACTCTGGCGTGCTGGAGCCTGGGCTGGGACTATTGCAAGTTCTGGGGCAGCCTAGGTTATATGACAAGACCCTGACTCAAAGGGTGAAAAAATATTTGGAGAGGAAAGGGAGTTGGAATTCCCTCCAGTCAGGGCCCCAGGGTGACAGTGGCAGGCAAGGCTTTTGTTTTTCTCATGGAACAAGATAGGATAGGGAGCATGTACCTAAAGACATGGAGTTTGCTGGAGGGAGGAGCCACCAGAGACCAGCCGTTCTCTGGTTGGCTTGAGTTATCTATGTGCGCATCCACAGAAGGGTCCGTGTTTCTACAGCACGTGGCAGCTCTGACCTTCACGCTTCTCTTTTTCCCACCCAGTGTATTGTGGGTGTGGCTGGCGGGGCCACTCGAGCTGCGCTGACCATGCACCAGGCCCGAAGAAACAACATGGCTGATGTGTCAGCTAAGGACAGCAGCCAGGTGAGCATCAAGCACTGGGGAGACAGTGAGGTGGGGAAGGGGCCAGGACAGGCCACAGTTTGGAAATACGGAAAGAGGCCCGTGAGTGTCCCTGCTGTGACCCAGGGTGTGGGGGCAGATCTGACATCACAGTTCAGAGACAAGTTCAAGCTGAGTTCAGCCCCTGCTCCCGGGCCTGTGTGGCCAAGAGTGAACCTTTGCTCTCTGTAGGCTGCATCCCCATCCTGGGAGCTGGATATGCTGAGCACAGTTGGCAAGTTGAGGTGTACTCAGCACATGAGGTTGCTATAGCCACCAGCCGGAGGCCTCCACTCAGTAGTTTGGAACATTCCTTCTGGCCCAGAACTTCCCCCTGACTGTGGGAGTCTGGAGCAGAATGGGGCTGGGAGGGACAGCCCTAAGCCCGAGCTCTGTGCTAAGCGCTGGCTAAGACTTTCTCATTTAACTCACACCCGCCCTGGAGAGTCAACGCTGTTAGGGTCCCTGCTTCACAGGTTAGGAGGGTAAGGCTGGGGCAGGTCCCAGAATGTGAAGTGATGTTCTTTGTTTCGTCCCTCTTGTAGTTGTTGGATCGGTTTAGAACCTATTCTATCCAGTCCTACTAGCTTTATCTTACTTTGTTTGGCTCATAATCCATAACTAGTATTTGTAAAGCATCAATCACAGGTCAGATGTATCCTCTCCATGAACTCAGTCCAGTCTTCACAGTGTTACTGTACCTATTGTGACCATTTTACAAATAAGAAACTAAAGCATAGGAAATCCCAAGTCCATCTAGATACCCTTGGGCAAGCCCCTCTTCCCAGGCAATGGAACTAGATCAAGTAAAATCCAGACCCTCCTCTCCAGCATCCCCCTGCCCCCACAGTCCTGCCCCAGAGCTTCCTCAGTGAGGGAGAAGGGGCATCACCAGGGCCCCGTAGACCATGTGCTCAGGCCCATAGCTGGCCCTGCTTTCTGCTTGTTTCTGGGGAAAGTGAGGTGCCCTTTTCGAGGTTCTTAGTCTCACTAATAAAAGAATTTAGAAGCAGACTCAAGTGTCTGTGAAGGGGCGCGAGGAAGAAACTACTAAAATGGTCACTTTATTATTTTTATTATTAGGTTTTTATTGTAGATAAGAGAGAGGAAATATCCAGAGACATCTGGAAGAATCCATAACAGAAAGAAAGGAAGTAGACTGGGCATGGCCAGGACTACCTGCGTGAGAGGTGAGAGAGACATCAGGAAAGAAGAGTGGATAGCAAGAGACAGTAAGGTAGCAAGAGTGGGGAAGACGGGTAAAGAAAGGGGCCAGGGTGCTAGCGTGGGGGCTGTGAAATGTGTAACCGTGCTGTGAGTAGGGACAGGAGCCTGGAGGTCAGCATGGACCCGATATGAAGTCCACAGGTGCGTGTCAGTGGAGAGCCGTATTGCGTTCTGCCAGAGGCCAGGGAAATGACTTCTTTGGGGGACAAAAAACCTGTGTCACAAGTTCCTGAGGCGTGATGGCTTTTGTTTTAATACCAGAAGTCCTTCCATAGTCCAGCTTGTGCGCATTTCTGGACATATGGACTAACACTCAGAGGGGAGCTCAGAAATAATTAAGAGAAATACATAGCAGACGTTAGGTGGAAATCCCAGCAGCCTCAGGAGGAGGGATGGGGAAAAGGCCAAGGCCCTTTAAGTTAGACATGGAATAGAAGTAACTTATTAAAGGAAGATGCACACCCAAGGATAGCAGTGGCTAGCAAGCTAAGGAAAGACTCCAGAGAGCGTCCAGCCGTACAGTGGTCTTTATAGCCACCTCTTGTTTGTACTCTGCAGGCTGTGTTTCACATAGGCTCTGTTAGATGATACCAGGATCAGGAAGGGCACAATTGTCAACACAAAAAACCACAGCTGTCATCTTAAAGGAAATAAGAGATAGTTTATTCTGGAGCCATTTTGAGTAACCATTGCCCAGGAGCACAGAATTAGACTGCTCCAAATTCTGTGTTCAACATGGAAGCAGTTTCATTATATTTTTTATAGTTTCACAGAAGAAAGACACAAATCAAGAGAAGTTTAGAATACATTGGTGGGTGTACCACGGGGGCTTAGCACCTGCTATGAAGTGGGGTGGGTAGTTGGGGTCTTTGTAAGTCACCATAAGGCAACAGATATTCATAAGAGGACATAGAGATAGATGTGGCCGACTGCTGTCTGGGAGTCTCCAGAGATACTTACAGCTTTTTTGGGGGGAGGGGGTCTATGATTGAAAAGGAACATGAGCAGTAATTTTCTTGAGGGTCCAGGCATTTCCCCGCCAGAGGTGCTATAGACATTGAAGTATATGGAAGCTTTCTTTATTCCTATAGGGCTTTAGATCATTTCCCTTGACTTTTACAAATTAAAGCCAACTATAGGAAGACATTAAAGTTTAAGATTTATCTTTTGGCCAGAGGCAGTACTTGTGTTTATCAGTGGTTGGGGTCTGGACTGAGGGTTTCCAGATTCTTGGCTTCTCAGCCCAAGAACTGGAAATAAGAGCCCACAGAAATGTGCACAAGAAGCAAGATAATTTTATTTGGAGCTAAGCTATCATAGAGATTAAAATGGGATACCCTGTCAAGATTGACAGCTGGCCGTATGAGTGAAAATACTCGGAAACCCTGGGCTACAGCCTGGTGTCTTTTCTACGGGGCCTAAGGAAATGGGGAGCTGGTTAACAACAGGCATAGTTTGGGTTGTTCGATATTTTGATTAATAGATTAGGTTACTTAATTATTTCTCTACTGTGTATGCCCTCTTCCCATATGCTTCTAATTTTAGTCATATGCAAACTCAATTATGTAGACATTAGATGCTAAATAGGGAATTCTCCCTAAAAGGTTACTAGAGGACACAGTTTTCCTTACTGTGTATGTACCCCAAACCAGTGCAGGTCAGGTTGGCCTTTCTGTTCTTTATACCTCGATGTGTAGGGAATGTGGTGTTTGGAGGTGTGTGTGCGCACGCACATGCACGTACATAGTACATGCAGACGAAGGAACCCAGCTGCTCAGTGTATGGTAACATGATACAGATGTGCATAAACCAAAACCAAGTAGGGGCCCAGAGTCCTAAAGTATCTCTTGTGTTTGCCCACCAGGCAATAAAGTAGAATGTCCCTGATGCCACTCTGGGTCCGAGACCAATCTCCATGTCTTTAGCTACCCAAGCATCCCTGAGGTTTCGTGTTCCCCTCCCCAGTACACCTCTTCCTCCCTCCATCATTCCAAACCACCAGGTGCAGATCCCCACTGCCAGCATCTCTGAAGTGTTTCCTGAACTGAGGTTGAACATGGTCTCCTAAGATGCTCTAAAAAGTAAACAAAAATGAAGAAAAACGAAGAACAAGTAGGCTCAAAGCTCTTTGGTTTTAAATCACTGAAAAGATTAAAAGCACAAAGTGGATGTGGTTTTCTGTTTGGGTTTTACCTCTAGAATCATTTCACTTGGAGACAAATGTTTTCCTGTTACGGAGAAGCCATCTAAGAGGTGAATCAGTAGACATCCAGTGCTACCTTAGCTGCAGAGACCTAAGTCTCCCGAGCAGCATAATCAGGACCCACAAGCCACCATATCTCCCACTCAGTTCTTTCCTGGTGCACTCTTTAGTCCTGAGTCCATTGAAGTAGAACCCAGACATGTAATCTGGGAGGGCCCGACAGGTACCAGCATTCCAAGCCGTAAGCAGTAAGATCCTGCAGGGAGGGGCATCGGCATTCACTTTATCATAGGATGGTGGTGACACCCCGGAGACAGTATACCCCTTCTTGGTAAAGGACTACCTGGATAGAGACCTGAGGGTGGGGAGTGAAAGAAAGAGAAACCAGGGAGATCGGCATCACATAGAGCAGGGTGCGGGGGAGTTTGGGATCCCCACTCTTGTTAACCTTCAGGCCTTGGAGGGTGATGGGGGACCTAGGTAGATGGAGCTAAGAGTTTCAAAGGACCATCTAAGTATTATATTATACTCAGATTGAGATTGATTATAAACAGTACATAAAGTTAAAAAATGCACAATGTCAAGCCGGGCGGTGGTGGCGCACGCCTTTAATCCCAGCACTCGGGAGGCAGAGGCAGGCGGATCTCTGAGTTCGAGACCACCCTGGTCTACAAGAGCTAGTTCCAGGACAGGCTCAAAAACCACAGAGAAACCCTGTCTCGAAAAACCAAAAAAAAAAAAAAAAAAAAAAAAAAAAGCACAATGTCTCCATCACACTGATAAAATCCATCACATTGTATCAAGATTATAATCTTTAATCCCAGCACTTGGAAGGCAAAGGCAAGAGGATCTCTGAGTTTGGGGCCAGCCTGGTCTACAGAGAGAGTTCCAAGACAACCAGGATACACATAGAAACCCTGTCCCCCCAAAAACAAAACCAAAAAAGATTATAATAAACATAACCCATTTCTGCCACAAAAATGTAGAGATCTAATTCTAAACCTGTTTACCAATAAGATAGAGGTATTTGACATGGTCTCAGTCTGACTTTATAGATCTTATAAAGCAAAAGAGGCATCAGCAGAACTGTAAGGGATATGCAGACAGCTTTTTGTTTACAGGACGTTGTTCCTGCTCTCCTGGACTTCCTTGTTGCCAGTACAGGATACAAGCAATAAGAGGGTCCACCTCTCCCAACACACTGGAAAACTGGTCGTGCACAGCCAAGAGTGCCCAGTGCAGGGATTCAGGAGACTCTGGAACACAACAGAGATATGTTCCATGGGTGTTCTGAGGGCACTGTGTCTATTGAGCAGAGAAATTCCCAGCATCTTTTAAATAGCAGCTCTCTCACCACAATACAAAAACTGTAGTTGGCCCTCCTGTTAAGGTAGGGAGCTCTGGTTGGTTCTGAAGCACTAAGGATTGTAATAAAAAGCACCCAGGGCCATCCCTTCTGCCATGAAGGAAGCCCGCTAATGCTCAACTCCTCTGCCATTTTTCAGGAGACAGTGGTGAACCTAGCCGGGCTCCTCGTCAGCCTGTTGATGCTTCCTCTGGTATCAGACTGTCCGAGGTAAGCCAGGAGTGAGGCCAGGGCAAAGACGCCCACCTCCACCTCTTCCTGTATATCCTGGCCGCCTTCCTCTCTTGCCCCAGCCTCGGCTTTGGATGTTTCATCCTCCTGACTGCTCTCCACATCTACGCCAACTACCGGGCAGTCCGAGCCCTTGTCCTGGAGACTTTGAATGAAAGCCGGCTCCAGCTGGTCCTAAAGCACTTCCTTCAGAGGGGAGAAGTACTTGAGCCTGCTTCAGCCAATCAGATGGAGCCATTGTGGACAGGTCAGCTAACCCTTTGGTCTCATGCCCCTGTTTCCTGGCCTTCCCCCTCCCTGCCTGAGCATTCTGACTACAGCTTCCTACAGGTTTCTGGCCATCCCTGTCTCTGTCCCTGGGTGTTCCGCTACACCACTTGGTCTCCAGGTGAGTGGCCCCATGGCCCCTGCCTCACTGCTGCTTCCCACACTCCCCATGTGGCCCCTGTTTTCAGTTACATTCTGGTCTTTGGTCAGGTTTTATTGTTTATCGTGTTCTAGGTGTCCCGAGCACTTGAGGGAAGCAGGGAGTAGAACACAGTAGATATGTTTAGCAATGAACTGCCCTCTGAATACCCTCGCATAGCCTTAGACAAGCGCAGACCTCAGCCTCGCCTTGTGAGTGGTGCTGAGTGCAGAGATTCATGGTCACCAAGGTAGAGAATGTAGAGCCCTTCTTACAAGTCCCTTACCCCATCCCCTCCAAGGCTCCAGAAGCATTGTGGAATAGGGGGCAGGAGTGTGTAAGAGCCGGAGGATAGGATAAAGAGCTCTGAAATACATTTTCTACCCTGGGTAGATTTACTGTTTTGCTATCATAAACACCATGACCAAAAGCAGCTTCGGAAGAAAAGGGGTTATTTGGCTTATACTTCCAGGTCACAGTCAGTCATCAAGGTAAGTCAGGACAGAACCAAGACAGAACCATGCTGTTTACCAGCTCACTCGCTGGCTCATGCTCAGCTCATTGTTTCATGCAGACCTGGCCCGCTTGTGTAAGGATGGTGTCACCCATAGTGGGCTGGTCCTTCCCAAATCAATCATCAGTCTAAAGGCCAGCCTGGTCAAGGCAGATCATTAGTTGAGGTTCCTTGTCTGCTGACTCCAGGTTGTGTCAAGTTGCCACAAACTAAGCACTGCACAGTACAGCCATGCGGTCATTACTCCCAGCTGAAGTTACTGGCACTAAGCCCACAAAAGCTGGCTCTGCCAGGCGGCCAAGGAAGAGACTGTTAGCTGTCAATGTGTTCTGTGAGAGGGGAAGTCAGTCTTTAGTTGTGTCTCCTCTGCTGAGCCCACCAGGCTTCAACCATAGTTCCAAGTCCATGCTCATCAAGAAGGACCCAGCTTAACCTCAGTGGGCACGAAACAAAATAAATAGCAAAACTGAGAGAGGTTTGTGGGGAGAAGGAAGGTGGATGGGGAAGGGGAGGGTTTGAGTGATCGGTGTGTGTGATGTGTGTATGCAAAGCTACGTAATTTCAGCGAAAGTGATGCTTATAGAAGAAGGTGGGTGGGAGCTGGAGAGATGGCTCAGGGGTTAAGAGCATTGCCTGCTCTTCCAAAGGTCCTGAGTTCAATTCCCAGCAACCACATGGTGGCTCACAACCATCTGTAGTGGGGTCTGGCGCCCTCTTCTGGCCTGCAGGCATACACACAGAAAGAATATTGTATACATAAATAAATAAATAAATATTTTAAAAAAAAAAAAAAGAAGAAGGTGGGTGTAGGGAGAATGGAGGGTGGGGTGGGTTGAAGCAGCAGCTAGGAAACATGAGTGAGCAGTGAGTAGGGACAATGGCAAACGGACAGTTGCAGCCACCGGTTGGACAAGTGGGTAGGGGGGCCTTGCTTTCCCCTGCCCCAGTGCACGCTTCTCTCCTTCAGTGTCTCCGATCTGAAGCAGCTGGTCGAAGGGCATCGGGAACCCTACCTCCTTCGCTGGAACCAGTCCCACAGTGAGTGCGCTATGCTCTCCGAGTTCACTCCAGGCCTTCAATCTCTGGACAGTTTGGAGTCCGCCTAGTGTCCTAGAGAGTGCTCTAGACTAACACTTCGATGCATTCAAATTAATAGCTTCATGCCTAATGAATTCACTATGTGCCTATATAACACCTATTCTCAACCTGCGGGTCACGGCCCCCTTTTGGGGGTTGAACGACCCTTTCACAGGGGTTGCATATCAGATAGCCTGCATATCAGACATTTACATTACAATTCATAACTGGCAAAATTACAGTTATGAAGTAACAACAAAAATAATTTTATGGTTGGGGGTCACCACAACATTAAGACCTGTACTAAAGGGTTGCAGCAATGGGAGTTTGAGAAGCAGTGATCTATAGCATGAAGCCACAGAAGTTGCCTTAGTACTTGTGGCATTTTCCCAAGGATTGCTTGGGGTGATTATGTGTCGGGGTCCAGCCCCAACATAAATTATCTCTCGGACCAGTGTAGAGGCGTGGAAATAAGTGAGGCACAGTTTACACAGCAATATCAGGAGGGAGTCCCAGGGTTCATTCACATCCTGAAGATCATCTGCATTTATTCTCCTAACAGCTTCTATATCAAAGGGTAAACTGAGGGGAAGTTCATTAGCGTTCTGTTTCTGGGTAGCGGGACTTAGGTCATGTTAGCAGCTATGGCTGCTCTGTCACAGAAACTGAATCAACACCTCTTCCCAGGCAGTCTCCACAAAGAAGGAGCAAAAAGACATTAGCAGATCCTGACCCTTTGTTTAGGATGGTGTCAGTTTGTCAGGAAAGGCCAGGTGACCCCCTTCTGTGTGGCCAGGTGCAAACTGGCCTGAAAGTCTGGCCACCATACAGTGTAGAAATATGGGCCTGTATAATATGGCCCTACAATTATGTAAATAATAATTTGTACATTGTAACATATTGAAATAAGACTGTGGCCCATTGGACTCTGGAGGTCACATTGTCTCTTACCTTGAGTTCTTTGTTAGGGAAACAAGTCCTTACGATTTCTGATGGTTTGTGGTGTGTGAAGGGAGAAATTACCTCTTGGAGGCTACTGTGGAATTGTCCTTGGAAATTGAGCATTTCAGTTTGCTAAAGAAACAACTGGAGCTGGAAGGGGAAGAGTGGGGACCCCACGCCTGGCGGTGACCCCAGGTACTGAGTGAACCAGGGAAGAGTGGGGACCCCATGCTTGGCGGTGACCCCAGGCACCGAGTGAACCAGGGAATAATGGGGACCCCATGCCCGGCGGTGACCTCAGGCACTGAGTGAACCAGGGAAGAGTGGGGACCCCACGCCTGGCAGTGACCCCAGTCACCGAGTGACTCAGGTGAATGGAGGGCACTGGAGAAATAGTTCTTTTCTGATCTTTATCCTTTGGGGCTCTGCAGACCAGGTCCAGGTCGCTCTGAGCCAAGTGGCTGGCCCTGAGGCTATCTTACGGGCTGCCACTCACGGGCTGGTTCTTGGAGCCCTGCAGGAAGATGGACCCCTTCCAAAAGAGCTCGCAGAGCTAAGGGAGCAGGCTCGGGCTGGTAAGAGCTTCGTGGTCTAGGGCTGACGACCACAGGGGTGAGAAGGGATGGGTGTCTGTCTTGACGAGGATATGAGAATTTCCACTTTCACACCCACCAGGTCCTAAGAAAGAAAACTGGGCTCTCGTCAGGGAGATACATCAAGTGTTGGACACGCTGTTCCCAAAGTTCTTGAAAGGTAACCCCAGCTCTGGGCTTCTTCAGCCTTGGGCCCTGCCTGGGAGGTAAAGGACTGATTTTTCTGTGATCTTTGGTCTGTCTGTCTCCTCCCTGCAGGATTGCTGTGTAGAATGGTCTCTGAAGCTCTACCAGTATTGATAGCCTATAAACCAAGTTGGTCTTAAAGCACTTAATTCATTCTGCCCATTTTCCATGTGCTATGACTAAGCTCTATACGCAAAAAAAATTTAACCTCATTTTCTGCCATAAATAATTCCAACCAAAGAGCCCAACTAGTGCCAAAGGCTGCGCAAGCCTTTTCTGTGCCCATAACCTGTCTCTAGGTTCAGCCCAGAGCCTCCTTCCTGGCCTCACCCTCTGACCTCTTCGTAGGACTGCAGGCTGCTGGCTGGAAGACTGAGAAACACCATCTAGAAGTGGATGAGTGGAGGGCCACATGGCCCCTGTCTCCAGAAAAGAAGGTCTTATGAGCAGCCCGGCTGGAGACCCAGAGCCCAGGACAGGAACCTGGAGCAAGGACGCTTTGGCCACAGCAGGATATTAGAAGGGCAACTTTATTTTTGCATAGGCAAACTGCTACGGCCAGTTGGCCACTATCTTGTGGAGAGTGACAACCAGTCAAATGGACTGGACCCCAGGCAAAGAGGAGGGAACCAGTTTCTTCCTTCCACATTCTTGCCCCTTTTTCTTTTTTGGGATCCACTATACAAGGTCCCCACCCTCACTTTCTGTGAGACTCAGGCATGTCCTGGTTGCAGTCATGGTATTGAACAAATTTGACTTTATGCATAAAAGCCCCAGAGGAACACAGCCACGGTCATCATGAGCAGGGCATTGAGGTTGACTACCCAGGCCCAGCCAGGGTCCTCACTGATGTCCTCTGGCTGCCTGGTTGTCACAGCCACCTCCTCACTAGTGGGTGGAGGACTACCCGACCCACTCCTGCTCATTCCACAGAACCAGAGCAGGCATCGTCGGAGCCGGCTCGGTGCTGGGGCCTGGACGTCTGGAAGAAATGGGGAGGCTACAGTTAGTCTGGAGGGAGCTAGCTCCCCTAGTTAACCCAGGACACTTGCTGGGGCGAGCCTCACCTTCGATCTCCACTGCATGTTCCTGGCACCTGTTCTGCACAGGGGACGGGGTTGGGATTTCTAACTCATCAGCATCCAGGTCCTCCCGTTCCTCCTTGCTGTGCCGGAGACTGAAAACCAGGCGGTGGAGCTGGGGAGTTAGGGAGAAAGGACAGGTGGGAGCTTTGCTCTCCACCCCAGGTCTACACTGGCGTACCCACGTTGTCACTGCCTCCCTAACCCCGACCCTGGCCTGCACACTTGTATAGGCTCAGCTCACTCAAGACTCCTCTTTCTGGGATAGCCTTTGCCTTCACTGAACCCCAAGCTCTTCATCTAAGTGTTAAAGTCATTGGCCCTGCCCCCATGTCTCACCCTAAATTTTATGCCTACACCCAGAACTGTAGTTCTTCAGACCGGTCTTAGAGTTCTGATCACAGTGTGTTCCCGTTGTCATTTGCTCTGCTTCTCCAGAATGTCACATAAGTAAATGTGCTTGCCCTGAAAATAAAGCTTCATACTGAACTCCCAGCTTCCCCTACCAACACTCAGTATGGAATTTCTCCTTGGGCAGAGTGAAGCAGACTGGCTTAAAGGGGTGGCCATGGTTCTTCCATCCCATGCAGGTCATGTTTGGTCTCCCAGTTCCCCCGGAGCAGCACTTACGTGCTTCTGTGGGATGGGCGCAGTGCACAGGGAGACCACAAGTGTGAGGAGGCCGGAGCAGACGAAGAGGACGATGGCAAAGTAGAGGTAGTGCACCCCGCAGAGGAGCACTGGGCACGCCGAGGGTCTCACGCAGCTGCCCGTGCCGAAGAAGAACTCGGGTATGAACCGTGCCAGGCCCATCAGCAGGCCCCCGATCAGTCCCCAGAAAGCACCCTGCCGGAGAAACAGCATTAGCCTACCCTGGGTACCCAAGCCTCACCCAGAGCCCCCCCCCCCCACACGCCCTACTCACCTTCTCGTTAACACGGGGCACAAAGAGGGCAAGCACGAAGACTGCGGACACTGGGGGCGCCAGGTAGCTGGAGATGGACTGCATGTAGTCGAAGAGCTGCCCACCCTGTGCGGCCTGCACTACAGGTAGCCACGCCACCGACACCGCCACAATGAATACCACCCAAATCCTGCGGTTGAAGGCAGTCAGGTTTTACAGAGGCCCCACCTTCCCTATCAGCCTGCTGGTGCTCTGTGCCCACACCCCAGGTTCATTTGTGGGGCAGGGGTTGGGACCCAGGCCGTACCTCCCAACTATCAGCAGCTCCGCGTCGCCTGCACGAGGCCGCAGGCGGGTGTAGATATCCATAGTAAAGAGCGTGCTGCTGCTGTTAAAGATGGATGCTAGAGAAGACATGAGCGCAGCCAGCATGACGGCCAGCATGAGTCCACGCAGACCTGTGGCCAACAAGAGCTGTCAGGCCAGAGCCATTGGTGTGTTCAAGGTGGTGAAGGATTGGCAAGAGGTGGCCCTCCCAGAGGCAGTCCCTGCAGGCTCAGCCCAAGGCGGCCCACTTCCGGCTCTCACCATTGGGCATGAGCTTCACAACAAGCTGCGGGTAGGCGATGTTAGAGCAGCCCACCTCAGTGCCGCACACCCGCTTACACACCTCGGGTACCACACACGCAACTTCATCTGCAAGAGAAGCCATAGGCAGCTAGGAAAGACTGACTGGGAAATGAGGATCCCTGGAGCCTAGCGTAGACTGGAGATCCTAGAGATGGTGGTCCTGGTGGGACGCAGGGTGTGATACCAGGTTCCCAAGTCTTAGGACAGTATAAGACACAGGCATGTGGATCCTTGCACAGGAAGGTAGGTTGCTGAATGGGGCACAGTCCCATTGAGGCTGGTGTGGCGCAGACATTACCTGGGTAAAGAACGCGGCTGATCATGCCCGGCATGACCATAAGGAACATGGGCATCAGCTTCAGGTAGCCACACAAGATGCATCCGGCTTTGATGTGAGTCAAGTTCTTCCCAGCCAGGCAGCGCTGCACTATGACCTGTGATGTGGGGGTGTTCAACTCTGGGTCATTTGGACCTCACCCCCACAGGCCTTGCCTTAACACTAGCCTTCACCCCTTCTCTAATTCATACCCAACCCCTAACTCGATAGAGTCCCTACAACGTCTCCATCCTCAGATCCTGCCGGTGGATTCTGACTTCTTTTAGGTACACCCTGGCATGATTCCATCAGCTCAGGCCTGCCTTCAACCTAACTCCAAAGGCTGGTGTCAGGCCCACCTACCAGTCAGCACAGGGCATTTAAAGTTCCGTCCCAGTCATGTGCACATACGCCACCCCAAACCCCGGCCTCCCTCACCTGGTCGCTGCACCAATACCAGCCTGAGACTATGGTAAGCCCCAGGAGCAGGGCGGGCCACGGCAGATCTCCTGTCACCGGGTCACGCAGGAGGTGATAGGAATCAGGCCTTGGTTGGTAGCAGGTGCTGGAGATGTTGCCAATAGCCGGATCCTTGGACACGGTCAGTGAAGTCACTGCTCCCAGGTATTTGTCGAAGAGACCCGAGTAGCCGCCTACTTCATGGAAAGCTGTGCAGACAAGGTTGTCAGGGGATGTCGCCCGTGTTAAAGCCCTCCTTAGGACCCATATGGCAGAGACAAGCAAGGTTCCAGCCCCTAGGTTAAAAGCATTGTGACAACACAGATCCATGCCCTGCCCCTGTTAGGTAAACCCCGTACCGTAACCAGTGAGGATGAAGGCCCCAGCGAGAATGACAAAGGTCTGCACGGTGTCTGTGTACATCAGTGCCGCCAGCCCTCCTGCAATGACCCCAAGTCAGTGGAAGACAGCACGGCTGCCGGACCCTGGCACCCATGTTTTACAAGTACCCATTCCAGAGAACAAGTTTTATAAAAAACGATGCTAGGCTTTGTGCACTAGAACGCCAGGAAGCAGAGTTTTTTAGGCCACCGATGCTTTCTTGGCCAGGAATCCATGCGGTGCAAGATTCCCACAGTACACTCCTAGGCCCATTTTCTCAGCTGGATGGGGGTGGCGGGAGATTCCTTTAAGACTCAGCCCTTAGTTGCATCCTATCCTGCAGCAGCCTCCAAGCCACTTTGGCACCATTCCACCCAATTCTGTGTGTGACCCGGGAACCTGGGAACTGCACTGCATTTACCCAAAGGTCTTGGAGACTGACCAAGTCAGCTCTTCAGACATCCAAGAAGGGCAGAAGCTTCTAAACCATCTCCAAGCCAGCTCTCTCTCACCACCCCCAAGCTCCCCGCCCCCCCATGGCCATCCCAGGGCAGCCAGTCACCTGTCACGGTATAAATCATGGTGATGCCCAAGAGTGCAATGACAGAAGCATAGATGTTCCAGCCCAGGGCCTGCTGGATGAATACCGCCCCGGAGAACATGTCCACCTTCCAGGAGAGAACAAATGCACAGATCAGAAACAAAGATGCTGACCCAGGTCCACTTCCAGCCGCTGAAACCATCCATCCAATGTGGCCACACCTCAAAAGTCCACTCACTGTTCAAGGACCTAGTCTTCCCGGACCCTAACCACTGTGCCCACAGCTTTTCAGACCTGTTCTTTCTCATCCACCCCACCATCGCCCCACCCCATGATTCTTTCATTTCTCCTTGGTCCCGCCCCCTCCAGAAATCCCAGAAGACCTCCTTTGGGTGGGTCCGCCCGCCGCGCATGCGCACCGAGATCTTGGTGAAGATGTACAAAAAAAGTGAGAGCACCGACAGGTAGAGGCGAATACGGTGCCCGCCAAAGCGCTTGCGCAGGTACTGAGGCATCGTAATCACGCCTGCCGTCAGGTACACAGGCACGAAGAGCCAGCCGAGTAGCAACACCACAAAGAGCGCCTGTGGGAACAAGTGACAGCCCAACGTGACTGTCTTAGCATCTCAAGCGGGTCTGTACTAACCCTCACACCCAGGACCCAGAAGGCACCAACGGAAGAGCCTGGGCCCTGAGCCGGAAGGGAACGGAACCTTGACATCTGCCTGGCACCTTCATTAGAGCCCGTTTTGCGCTTACAGGTCATCGCCTCCAACCAGTCTCCCCCAAGGAGATCTTCACGGCCCCTCCCTACCTCTCTAGCAAATGAACCTGTGCACACTGGCTCTTCAGACTGACCTCAGCATCTGTGGGGCTCCTCCCCTCCTCCACCCACCCAAGAATTTTATCCTCAAAGGCTCAGTTCAGAGGTCTCCTCCAAGAAGGCTCAAACTCTTATCTCTCCAACCCTCCCAGGTGAGCCCCGTCCCAGGACTTGGTCTCCAGGTTTTTGCCAAAGACTTCAAGTCTAGAGATGCTCAAAGGCCACAGCGTCAAAGAACATCCGGACAGGTGTTTCTCCCACTGTGAGCTGCCTGCCCCACTTCAGAGCGGAGTATATAGGTCAAGGACCACCAAGGATGGATGCTAGCGTATCCAGGAAGTCAGGAGCAGGACCTACCTGTACCCCACTGCCTGTAAGCTAGCACATGATCCTTGCTCCCAGCCCAACCTCACCCCACAACTGGGCTATTCCAGCTTGTTCATATCCCCACACCAGGAGCATCCCCAAGGGGTGATCTTTTCAGAGGTTTCCGCTGGAGTGGGTTATTACAGAAAAGAAGCTCTCACATTCCACTCAAATCCAGCCACAGCCAAGCCGCTTGCCGCACCAGTCCCTGCCAGGCCCACGAAATGACCGCTACCAATGTTGCTGGCG